AGCACTGAACAGGCCACACAAAGCAACCAAGAGGGAGATTAGACAGTGGGTAGCAGAGCTGATAAAAGTTCAGATTTTGGAGCCCTAGTCACATCCTGGGCCCAGCATCTGTTGGCTGGGTGACCATAAGTTATTTAGCCACTCTGTGCTTCAATTTCCTCCTCTGAAAATAGGTGATCCAATAGTACCTACCTTGCAACTTCGTTGTGAGAAGAGAGTAAGTTCACTGTGTAAAACACTTAACACTGCCCAGCACAAGGAATTATCTGCCACCATGGGCCACCAGTTTGCAACCCCTGCTGGAGACGTTATTATGCAATTTATCTTTGAAACCTACTACAGGTTGTGGCCTTCTCTGAGGTCAGAAGAGTGAAACCTGCCTCCTTTGTAATCACTGCCTAAGCCATCGCTGACAGGTGCTCCCATTCCTCCCACCTTTCTGCCACTCCAAACAGCAGTGCAGAAAACAGCTTTGTATTGCTTTTTGCACTGGTGCTTTATTTCTGCAGGACAGACTCCTAGAAGTATACTGATGGGTTTCCAGATTAGGGATTTTTTAATATTTATTAGATATTTTCAGATTATGTTCCCCAAAAGTTAGAACAATTCATACACCTACCAGCAATGTACGAGATGACCCACTTCCCCATTTACTGGCTATGGCTGGTTTTATCAATCTTTGTAACTTTTTGCCAATTAAAAAGGTAAAAAAGAGGGACGCCTGGGTGGCTCAGTCGGTTAAGTATCTGCCTTCGGCTCGGGTCATGGTCCCAGGGTCCTGGGATCAAGTCCCGCGTCAGGCTCCTTGCTCGGCGGGGAAGCTGCTTCTCCCTCTGCCTGCTGCTCCCCCTGGTTGTGCTCTCTCTCTCTCTGCCTCTCTGACAAATAAATAAAATCTTTTTTAAAAAATAAAAAGAAAAGAAAACTTGTTTTAATTCACATTCTGTTAGTGATAATCTTTTGAGGCAGAGAGCTCAACTTCTTTCTTTTCTCCCTTTCTTCTTTAGCACGAGAACTCCTATTTTTAGCTAAGCACACCCTATGCTTCCTTGCAGCTCAGTGTGGCTAAGCTCTACTCAATGAGGTGTAAATGTTAGTTCTGTGTGAGACTTTTGAGAAGTGTCTGGAAGGGAAAGGGCACACCCTTTCTCCCGTCTGTCTCCTTCTGGCTTGTGGAATGCAGATGTGATGACTGCAGCTCAAGCAGCCACCTTGAATCAGAAGGCACTCTGCTACGGATGGAAGAGCAGCAAGATATAAGGAACCTGGGTCTGGAATGACTTTGATTCCACCATACCAGTCCTTGACTGCCCACCTCTTTACTTTTTCATGAGATGAAAACATATACACCCTTATTGTTTAAGCCATTGTTATGCAGGCGCTATCTACTATATGCAACCAAATCTCGTCCTAATACACCTTCTGATCCCCAAAAGTCAAAACTGAACATTTTTCCTTCCAGAACACAAGCAAACAACTATGCCTCTATGTTTCATTTGCTCTGTTTAAGTGTCCTAAAAGTGGACCACTTATTTCCCCACTCTCAGCCCTTCTTCCAAAGCCATAGGTTCTGCAAAGATGGTTTAGAATTTTTAATTTTCAGCCTATTATGTTTTCCCATACAGTTCTCTTGTAGCTTAAAGATTATTAAGAACTCAACACAATAAAACCCATCTTGAAGCAGCACTAGCCCTGAGATTAAAGCATATGCCCTGACAGGCACACTCCTTCCTGCACTCTTGTCCCATCTCATCATCTCTGCCCTGCTTTCACTGTGTTTCTGCTGGAGAGCTTGACAGAGCATTTTCTCAGCTACACTGAACAGATACTGTATGTTTTATGCCATCACGTGTCTGAAATGCCTTTCTTTTGCAATAACCCACGAGTGGCATCTGGGCTGGGTATACAGAGGACCGGGGCCCCTCTCCCGTGAACAGCCTGTAGACACCAGGCCACTGCCTTCCCACCTGCAGGGTTACATATGGGAAGCCCAGTGAGAATCTAATTCTCTTTCCTTAGAAAACCTGCTCTTTCTTCTTACAAAATTTTAAGGTTTTTCTTTCTTCTTGGAGTTTAGGAATTTTACTAGAAAACAAGAGTAAGTGTTGGCTTTAGTGTGAACTGGATGAATCCACTGAATCTGAAGAATCACGTCTTTCTATAGCTCACTGAAATTTCCCTCTACTGTTTTTCTATTACTCCTCCATCTGTTCCTTTTTCTCCTCCTGGAACTTCTATTCTATTACCCCTGTGCCAGGTCTCCTGGGTAAGGCCTCTAAGTGTCCCACATGTTAATTCATTATTTCCATTTCTTTGTATAATTGTTCTGGGTTATGAGACATTTCTTCTCTTTGGCCTTCCAAACCACTAATTTCAACTCTTCTATTGATCCTTGAATTCAAAAGCCACGTTCTTTAGTTCCAGAAAGCCTCTGGTACACTTCCATCTCATCCCTTTGGGAGTTCCTTCCTTGTGAATTAAAGTTCTTAAGTGTCCTCTCCATTCTTCCTGCCTCAAAGAAGCTACTGCTCCAAGTGTGAAGTTTGGCTTTCCTCCTTTCTACAACCAAGTCCCTGAAAATGTGTTGTCATTTGTCTTTGCCTGTTGAAGGACACAGGTTCTTGTAGCCCCTGTTCATGGCAGACCGCCTAAGCTCCTGCAGCAGTAGCAAGCCTGAGGCCCTGGACAACCTGAGAGCCTTTGTTCAAGAGAGCTCAAGTGAAATACGCTGCTGAACAGGGATCTTCCTGCTGAGAAGTAGGGAGGAAATCCTCTGCCCTTTGGTCCCCACCCAGGTGATGACAGGAGAGAGGAGTCCTCTCCCCCTGCAGAGGCTGGGTGCAAGCCTGCCCAGATCCCCCATGAACCGCAAGTGGGCAGCCACAGCCCCTCTCCTGAAATCCAGTTTTGGTTTTTTTTAGTCTTTTTTTCTTTTAATTTTTTTAAGTTTATTTATTTTTATTTATTTTCAAGTAATCTCTACACCCAGTATGAGGCTCAAACTCACAACTCTGAGATCAAGAGTCGCAAGCTCTTCCGACTGAGCCAGCCAGCCACCTCATCCTGGAATCCAGTTCTAATCAGAAAAAGCACAGACCAGGAGAGGAGCTCCATTTCTAGAACAAGACTGACCTAGAGTCCAATCTCAGCTCTGCCACTAACTTGCTGTGTGACTTCACGGAAATCACTTCTCTGAGTCTGTTTTGTCGTGTGCTCCCACCTCTAAACCAGCAGTTGTCTCCAGCATCCTCCTTAGGGGAACCAATCCCACCAGTAGGTAAGCTTCAGAGAAAGTGCTTCTACTAAGCACTATATGAATTACTTGTGTTGTAATTTATCATGCAACATCAAGGAAGACTGAATCCCTGGTAGGAAAGCATCAGAAACTTCACCTTCTGCCTCTTTTGTAATAATGGGTTGACAGAAGGGTAAGGCTACTAGAAGAATCTGAAAAATATTGTAATATTTCAGCTTTTAACTTTTTTGTGACTGTTCCTACCTGAAAAGAATCTCTTAGGATTCTTTTAGGCAAACACTCTCTGCCACTCCCCGTTTTATTCTTTTATGTTGTCTCAAGACCTTAGGACCATGGCCACAAAGCGGATGGATATTGAGAGCCATAAAAGAGTCCAAGTCGGTTTCAGTCTAGTAACATTTATTGAGCATCTACAGTGTGTAAGGTACTGAACAAGGAACTGCATGAGATACAATAATGAGCAAGACACAACCTCTGCCTTAAAGTCTAGTCAAGGAGGTAAGATGGGAGGTACGGGGTATATCACAAAAGCACGATGCAATGCAGAATGTAGCCAGGGCCATGAGGAAATTAAAACATGTGTCACAAGGGTTTAAAAGGAAGGAGAGCAGGGTGCCTGGGTGGCTCAGTCGGTTAAGCATCTGCCTTCAGCTCAGATCATGATCTCAGGGTCCTGGGATGGAGCCCTGCATCAGGCTCCCTGCTCCGTGGGGAGTCTGCTTCTCCCTCCCCTTCTGCCCTTCCCCCTGCTCATGCGTACACTTGCTCTCTCTCTCAAATAAATAAAGTCTTTAAAAATAAATAAATAAAATAGGGGCACCTGGGTGGCTCAGTTGGTTGAGTATCTGCCTTCAGCTCAGGTCATGATCTCAGGGTCCTGAGATAGAGCCCTGCATCAGGCCCTCTGCTCAGCAGGGAGTCTGCTTCTCCCTCTCTCTGCCTCTTCCCTGGCTCGTGCTCTCTCTCTCTCACAAATAAATAAATAATATCTTTTAATAAGATAAAATAAATAAAAATTGAAATGAAATGAAATGACATGGAGGAGAGCAGCAGCAGAAAAACCTTCTCACAAGAGGTGCCAGATAGGATGGGCAGACTCTCAGGGAGCGAGAATGGGGGCGGGCAAGAGGGCGGCAGGGGGTTGACCTATAGAGTGAAGTCTCTTGAGGACAATGACCACATCTCATTTGGCCTTCACCCTTCCTCCCTCGGTGAAGCACCTCACACAAGAGCTGGCCTTTCTGATGAAGGGAGGGTCTGAGGCAAGGACAGCTGGAAGTGGTGGGTAGCTGTACTGGAAAGAGAGGACAGGGGTCTGTTGGCGGGGGGAGGGGGCCCTGACTGAGGCTGAGAAAGGAGGTCACCCAGCTACTGGGGAGTCAGACACAGAACGTCTGTCTTCTGACCACCAGAAGCAAATGGGTGACAGCATGACAGGGCAGCAACGAGAGGTTTTGCACAAGTAGGAGGTGGAGGAAGAAAGGGAAAGCCCTTGATACAAGAACCAACAGAGAACACCTCAGAGTTTAATCTGGCAAAGGAATCCCTAAAACACCCTCTGCACACATGGCTGAGGATGCCTGATGCCCCAAGAGCCGCCCTGCAGCTCCTCAGCCCCGCAGACACCATCTCTGGCTGCACCGCCACCCAGATCACCGGTCCCAGCGTGCCCCTTCCAGCGCCTGTCCATCATGGCCCTATGCTCCAGAAAGCACATTTCACTAAGGTCCATAAACCAACTTACCAGGAATACATGATGGGCTTCATAATCCCAGGCCAATAGGATATACCATCCCAGCACGTCTCTTTCCAAACAGTAGCCGCTGTAAAAGTAGGAGGAATAACTCCATTGACATAGATGTTCCAATATGGTAAGACTTGTTTTTCAAAGCTCAGCAAGGTCAGACCAACTTTAGCACTCGAAGATCTGATTTCAACCTGTTCTTTGAAATGTCAAATACTTTTCCCATAGATCAATATTTGATATCACCATTAGCCTACCAGGTAGCAAAGCCTGTCCTAAATGTATCAAAATCAACTTAAACTTCTTTGGTCACTATTCTCCTTTCCCACCATGCTTTGGACACATGCTATGGTATGGGTTTGCCTGGGGAATCAATCCCAAAGAACACATTGGCTCCATGGGAAAATGCATTCCGGCAGGCCCAAAGTACCAGTCACGGCCTCAGGCACTACCCCAGCAGGGAAGGAGCTCAGGAGTGCCCAGAAACAAACACCCCTGCCCTCAGAGCACAAGGCTGTTGAAAAAAGAGTGTGTATAACAAGGGAGTGCCTGGCATGTCCCGACGGTGACCCGCTGACACAGACAAGCATCCTGCACAGGGTGCCTGAAAAGGCCCCCCATCGCTGGTTTCTATCCTCCAAAGCACCCTCTTTCTCCACACCTCCACACCTCACTCCACACCCAGGTGGGCGGCTGCACCACCTCCATCACTAAGAAAAGTTGACTTCAGCTCTCCTAGGCCCCTCCTTTAACTTAAATGTCTCTGCATCTTCTCCTGGTCCTCTGCTCCCACCTCTGAGAGAAGCAGCTGGCTGCCTGAGACCCAGGGCCAACCAGGGCCAGCAACCCCCTTCCTGGCAACCCCAATCTCTTCCACTCTCTTGGTCCTACCCTCTATCTGAGAACACCTGCCATTCTCCCCAGTCTTCCAAAGGGCTCTGACCCTTGAACTCCAGGCTGCTTCCCATCAGACACCCTGACCTTAGTACCATACCATCTCACTACCATCCACATGGTAACACTCTACCTAACCAGTGGTGCTGCTCCCTCCTAGGCCACCAACACCTCCCAATTTGCTTAGGCCAGTGGCCTCAGGCTCTCCCACCTCCTGGTAGCTTTTAACATGGTTCACTAGTCCCTCTTTCCGGAAACTCAGCTCTCAGTCCCTAATAATGACTTTGTTGCTCTGTCTCCTCCCATCCCCTTAGTCTCTCTGGCCTCCTCCACTGGCTCCTTTCTTCTGCTGGCCCCTTGCTTTTGTCCTCTCACCGTTCAGAGCTTCCCTGCAGCCCTTGCCCGTGGAGGCCTGGCCCCTGCTTCCCTCTCCAGCTTCACTACCACCTCCCTGTGTCTCACACTTTATGCTCCAGCAACAAGGAAACCAACCCAAACAAAGAACACCCACTGAACTTCTTGAGGCTCATCCACTCGTCCACCTGTTTCCCACCTGCTTCCCGCAGCCAGGCTCTGCTCAGGCTGTCCCCTTGTTACGACCCTGAGCCACAGCTCACCAAACCTCCTGATTCTTCACTACCAACAGGTGAGAAATATTAAGCCAACATCTCTAAAATACATACGTTTATTTGTAAATTAAATATACATTCTAATGTACCGTGTTACATATATTATAAAACAAATGATCACAGTAGGAAAGATGAAATAAGTTAAAATAATTATATTATTCATCAACAATACAAAAAATTTTCATTCTCATTATTAAGTTTTAATAGGAGCATGTGACTCATATGCTTCTTTTTTTCAGTGTTTTTTTTAAAGATTTTATTTATTTGAGAGAGAAAGGGGAGGGGAGAGAGAGAGAGAGAGCATGAGCTGGGAGAGGGGCAGACGGAGAGGGAGAAGCAGGCTCCCCAGTGAGCAGGGAGCCCTACACAGGGCTTGATCCCAGGACCCTGAGATCATGACTGAGCAGAAGGCAAATGTTTAACCACCTGAGCCACCCAGGCGCCCCTTTTTCAGTGTTTTAAATACACTTTTTACAGGGGCACCTGGCAGGCTCAGTTGGTAGCGCATGCGACTTGATCTCAGGGTCGTGAGTTCAAGCTCCACCCTGGGCATGGAGCCTACTTAAATACACTTTTTATAGATGTGCAATATATGTACAAAAAAGTGCACACAATGTAAGTACACAGGTCAAAGAATTCTCAGAGTGAATACATCCATGTAACCAGCAGCCAGATGGAGAGAGAGAACATCACCAGCACCCCCCCAAAACCCACTGCACCCCCTTCTATCACTACCTGCCCCCAAGGGTAGCCACTATTCTGATTTCTAACAGCATAGATTAGTTCCATTTAAACCTTATATGAATGGGATCACATAATTTATAATCTTTGTGTCTGAATGAACACTGTATCTGTGAAATTCATCCTGATTTTTCATTGAATTGTTATTCATTAACTCTTACTGACTACAGTTGTCCACTGTGGGAGTTTACCACATGTATTTGTCCATTCTACTGCTGATGGACACTGGAATTTTCCAGTCTGGGCAAGGACAGATGGTGCTGCTCTAAACATTCTTGAGCATGACATTTAGTACACATTTGTATGCCTTTCTGTAGGGTTGATACCTTGGAGTGGAACTGCTAGGTCATAAGTAAGTGTATGGTCAGCTTCAGTAGATGACGGTTTTCCAAAGTGGCTAACGCAGTTTACGCCCCCACCAGCAGGGCAGGGAGTTCCAGCTGCTCCACATCCTCCCCAGCCCAGGATACGGTTTTGTTTTCGTTTTTCATTTTAACCATCCTGGCAGATAAGATATCACTAAAGTAAGTATTACAGTTCCTTGTAAAGATGAGGAGAGTGAAATTAAGTGCCTCTCTCAAGCTCACAAACCTAAGGGGAGTCAGAGCAGGACCCGAGGTCTTTGGACTTCAAAACGTATACTGTTTCCATTTGCAGAGAAATACTGTTTCCAACATAAACACCCTAACAAGAGGCTACAGCACTAATAAAAGAACATGCTTGTGGATTATGCCCATGGACTCTGCCCATCCTAACACTCAACTCATGACAGGAAAAGCAGCATAAAATGGTCTATCAATCCAACTTTGAGACAGACACATAGAAAAAGTCTGGACATATATACCCCAAGTATTAATAATAAGATGATGGCTGATAAAAAAGAATAAAATCTTGCCATTTGCAACAACATGGATGGACACAGAGGGGTTATTATGCTAAGTGAATAAGTCAAACAGAGAAAGATAAACACCATATGATTTCACTTATATGCAGAATCTTAAAAAACAAAACAAAACAAAACAAAAACAAACAAACAAAAAACCCCAGACTCTTAAATACAAAGAACTGGTGGTTGCCAGACCAGAGGTGGGGATGGGGGCATGGGTGAAAGAGGTGAAGGGGATTATGAGGTTCAACCTTTTACTTATAAAATAAGTCAACACCAAAATAAAAAGCATTTGTACAGCAAAGGAATTCATCAACAAATCAAAAAGGCAACACAGTGAATGGGAGAAGATAGTTGCAAATGACATATCCAATAAGGGTTAATATCCGAAGTATATAAGGAACTTATATACCTCAACACCAAAAACACCCCAAATAATTGGATTTTAAATGGGTAAGGGATCTGAATAGGTATCTTTCTAAAGAAAATACACAAACGGCCAACAGACACATGAAAAGATGCCCAACATCACTCATCATCAGGGAAATACAAATCAAAACCGTAATGAGATATCACCTCATACCTGTCAGAATGGCTAGTATCAAAAAGACAGGAAATAACAAGTGTTGGCAAGGATGTGGAGAAAAGCGAACCCTCGTGCACTGCTGATAGGAATGTAAATTGATGCAGCCACTGTGAAAAACACTTATGGAGGTTTCTCAAACAATTAAAAATAGAAATACCATATGATCCAGTAATTCCACTACTGGGTATTTACCGAAAGAAAACAAAAACACTAACTGAAAAAGATATATACACTCGTATGTTTGTTGCAGCATTATCTACAACAGCCAAGACATGGAAGCAGCCCAAGTATCATTGATAGATGAATGGATAAAGAAAATACAGCATACATATATACACAATGGAATATTATTCATCCATAAAAAAGAAAAGGATCTTGCCATCTGTGACAACATGGATGGACCTAGAGGATATCATGCTAAGTGAAATTAGAGAAAAACAAATACAATATGATTTTGCTTACATGGGGAACCTAAAAAACTAAACAAAACAAAAAAATCAGACTCTTAAATACAGAAAACTGATGGTTGCCAGAGGGGAAATGGATGGGTGACAAGCAAAATAGATAAAGAGGATGAAGAGGTACAAAGTACTGTACCAGTATTAAATAAGTCACGGAGGTAAAAAGTACAGCATAGGGAATACACTCAATAATATTGTAATAACACTGCATTGTGACAGATGGTAATTACATTTATCATGATGAACACTGAGTAATGTATAGAATTGTCAAATCACTAATCACTATTTCATACACTGAAAACTAATACAACATTGTATATGTCAACTATATTTCAACAATAAAAGAAAGAAAAAAAGAGATAATGGCTGCTTTTTAATTTTTTTGGCCTATCTTTATTTTCTTACTTTTCTACAATGAACATTTAATAATAAAGAAAAGAGGAGGAGGAGTCCAAGATGGCGGAGTAGGAGACCTTAGTTTCCTCTGGTCCCAGGAATTCAGCTAGATAGCTATCAAATCATTCTGAACACCTGCGAACTCAACCAGAGATCAAAGAAAAGAATAGCTGCAACTCTACAAATAGAAAAATGACCACTTTCTGCAAAAATGACAATACGGGAAAACTCACCTCAAAAAAGAGAACAAGAGGCAATACTAACTGCCAGGGACCTAATCAGTATGGACATAAGTAAGACGTCAGAACTGGAGTTCAGAATAACAATTATAAAGATACTAGCTGGGCTTGAATAAAGCACAGAAGACACTAGAGGATCCCTTTCTGGAGAAATAAAGGAACTAAAATCTAACCAAGTTGAAATCAGAAAGGCTACTAATGAGATGCAATAAAAAAATGGAGGTTCTGAATGCTAGGATAAATGAGG